TGCCTATTCCAGGGAGAGAACAGCCTGCTAATTCTGTGGTGGAAGAATTATTGGAATTGCATCCCTGAAATTTGTCTGGCCATCATGTGGATCATGTGTTACTGCTAGTGCTGATGCATTATTGTCATGGCACTTTATTCTGGCAACCCTTTCCATGCAAACCAGCTGTGTGTATGGCCATCCTGCTGGCAGCAAAGTGCCCTGAGCTGCACATGCTTGACCCGATTGCCTCATCTTCTTTTCACATGGAGAACTTTCAGGTAAAAAATATTCCCTGATGGGTTTCCCTGATTCCCTGTTACAATGAGGCAGGACTTGAAGTTGTCTTTGAAACTACAGTCTGGTATAGTTTGAAATGTCTGTTGGAGGCAGAGGGGAAGAACTGGGCAGTGGACCAGGATTTATTTGCAGAGACCTTTTGTTTTGAGTCATTCAGCTGAGTACCATTTTGTGTAAAAATATGCATGCAAATTAATGCTGATTGGAAGGGAATTTCCATGCATCCTCGATGACACGCTAAATGAGGTCAACGTGAGTACCATTAATACAATGAATAAGATGACACTAACTTGAGTGAAGCGCTCAAAGCATCCTCGCTTTCTCTTGGCTTTCTTGTTTGTCCTGTTCAGCCCCAGGGAGCCTCTGCAGTGTGGCACCAGCAGCCCCTGTAGGGGACAGATCTCATGATTCAAATAGACAGTGAGTAGCTCAGTGGTCTCCTCACTTGTCAGAAGTCGCCACAGTGTTACTGCCTCTTCTGGGTGGCAAGCTGTGCGCTCTCAGTGGAGGAGCCATTCCTTGGCAGGGTGCTGCTGTGGGTACCTGCCCTCTGCTTGGCTGGCCAAGACCCCACTGGGGCACTGTGTTTCCTTCAGTTCCTCTCTGATGCTTCCTGCCCAGCAGAAGGTAAGGCTGGTCTCTGTCAGAGGACCTGTATTTGCCATCTGGAAGTGCACCTTTGGGGGAGTGTTTCAAGGGAACAGTTCTTTAAGGGGCTAAGTACAAACCTTCCCTTTGGCAGCAGGTTTTGGATGCATGAACAGAGCAGTTACAGACCCCAAATATCTTGCTCATCAGGGCACTTTCTTGCCCTTCCTCCTTCATGCCTATGTTTTAAATGGACTTTCCTTTCACTGGCAAGAGATGGAGAAGCTGTGCAAAATGAGACATCCAGCACTGCACTGGGCACTGTTGGGCCTTTTTCTCCAGGCTTGTCACTGCTTATGGAGGAGCATTCATATTAATTTAAAAAAAGAGGTATATTAATCTTTGAATAGCTTCTGTAGGTGCTGCTTATACAAAGCATTTCAAACAGAAGAATAGTCAAAGGAATTTCACAAAGGATTGTCTGCAGGACTGAAAGAAACATAGGTCCCTAAGCACCTGGAGAGCTTTTGCTTTCCCATCTGCTGCAGCTCTGGCAGCATGCAGGTCAAATGCAGCAGAGAGTGGAGCACTGTGTTAACTGTGCACTGCCCTCAGTCCCCAGGCTGGAGAGTCCCTCAGCATTACTTGGGGCATGTCCCAGGTCTGGCAGACGTTCTCCCTGTGTGCACACCACACATCTGCATGCCAGTGTGCCCAGCTTGAAGGGAGCCCACACTGAGAAAAAAACAGGCAAATGTGTGGGCAAGGCACTGAAAAATGGTGTGTGCAATGCTCTGCATTTGTGTGTCACATATGTGACATGTATCACAAAGGCAATAGGTCCTAAACAGAGTCTACTGGCAGGGCAGAAAATCCCCAATATGATCTGAGCAAGGATAAATTACTGGATTAGATCCCTTTTATCTATGGGGTCACACTTCACAATGCCTACTCCTCTCACAAAATGAGTCCATTAAGCCTAGTAATGGACATAACCAATGTTTATTTGTACCGTAGTTAATGGCTGTGCATAAGTGATCCCATTTACACAATATCAAGGCAAAGAATCCAGGTATGTTCCAGTGACTCTCAGGACTAGGGAGTCATTACTTTTACACTCTCTGTTATTATCTGTTCACTAGTATTTTCTTGCAGAGTAAGTCTCAGACAACATCCTCTAAATCAGGCCTGTGAAGCACAACAGATTTATGCCTGCTGAAAGAAAATAGTACAGGGTACTCTGCTATTAATATGTAAAATCTGGAGATGAAGTCACATCTGTATGATGATTTATTTTGGTGGACCACATGTTCTTAAATCCCGGCCTTGCTCTTTTAAACTATCAAGTCTGTCATAAATATTTGATGATGAACAAGCTTATAAAAGCTAAATGCAAAACATGAATAGAGGGAGAGCAAATGTGTTATTTAACTTTTAATTAATTACCAGCACCTTACACTAAAGCCCATCTTCTGTAAGAGGCAAAATTAGTAACAAATTTCTTCCTCACTGTAACCTGATCTAAATGATCAGTATTGCATTTATTTGTATTTTTTAAAGGAAAAGGATAAATTGTCTAGAAACAAGAGAACCAGGAAACAAGAAACAAGGTAGAACAGTCTGGTTTTATTACCATATGTAATCAAAAGCTTTTATTTCCTATTCTCTCCTCCTTTTTCTTTTCCTTTCCTGCCTTTTTTTTTCTTTTACAACCGACATTAAGTTGTGAATCACATGTTAGGGGGATGTGGAAATGAAGGGAAACTGGTGACATCACAATACTTTACAACTTTACAACAAATGAGAATCTGAGTTTGTTGCATCTACGAGTGTATAGCAAGGGTGGAAAGCAAAGGCACACATAGGTTCATGAATCCCTCAAAGCAGAGAGGGTGGAAGAGAACTGGGGTTGGGAAAGGATGAAAACAGAAGACCCACTGAATACAAAATAAACATTTCAAGGTCAACCCAGTAACTGTGTGTACTTTGTGAAGGCAGATCGCTGCACAAGCTGTTGCCATGATTATCCATCTCTGTGTTTTGGGAGAATGTTTTGAGGGGTAATATCAAGGGAACCCTGCTTCAGGGGTTGGAGCTTGGTAAAAAGGTAAAAAGGTGTTGAGTTGGCTATTTTTTTTTTAAATTACCTTGCTACCTACTGTTTTCAAAGGGTTTTCAGTTTGTTTTTATTAAAACAACAACATTGCTTTGGATACAGATCTATCTACTCCAGTCTGCATAGTTCACTACGGGTGAACAAAACTGTTTCATAAAAGAAGCCATGATGAAATGAAAGAACATGCAAGCACCCTTGTTACACACTTTGGTGTAGACCATCCAGACCTTGTTTATACCATCGATAAGCTAGTGGACTTAAAATCTGTCTTTTCAATCATTCTGAAACAAAACCAAAACCCTGAAAAACAAATGGAAGTATAAAATTTTAAAAAACAAATTGAAACAGAAACAACCACCTTACTCAAACATACTGTTCAGTAGATATATATATATATATATATAAAAAGCTTAGAAGCGATCCCCATCATTTTTCTACAGTATGTTGACACAGTTATTGTAACAGATTAAAAACACAGCTACGTTTTGCATAAACTGAAAGACTGGAAAGGAACTTACACACCTGCGCGCGCACACACACGCACACACCTGTGCGCACGCACACTCCCACACTAGCTACATGCACAGTCACACAAAAGAAACAAAGGAAAAAAAAAAACCCACGTTTTTCCCCAAAGAAGTATATGCAGCATCCTTCTGGAGCAGCAGGTAGCTACAGCAGGAGCCTGCCTGCCTGTCCTAGCTCCGTGTGCCCTGCCTGCTGCAGGGTGTGCGGCTGGGCTTTCTGCAGGGCTTGGCCCCTCTCACCCGTGCTGTCCCCAGGCAGGGGATGTACCAGCTCCATGGACAAGGGTGTTAGTCATTTTCCTGCTGCCAGTGAGAACGATCTCCACGCTGACATGCTGTAAAGGGGGAGCGGGAGGTGGGGGAAAGCAGAACCCCCAGCATGGTGCCTTGGGAGCATCACCACCAGTGGGTGGTTATGAGAGAGGACTTGGCACAGCTAGAAAGTCAAATTTGGAGGGTATGGTGCTAGCCTAATTTCTTTAGGGATGTGGGGTTATGAAAATAACCACCACATTCTTCTTTCAATGTCTTTACTCCAGTTTTTGAAGGGGCTTGGAGGAGGAAGGATCAATAAATATTTGCATTACTCAAAGGGGAAAAAGAAAAAGGTTTTACATACTACAGCTCACAAATATACACAACTGAGGGTGTAAGGCACAAATTTACATGTGGAAGATAACAGGCTATTCACAGATATATTCCCACGAAAAACCCGTGTGATAAGACCATAATTTATGCATGGTAACAGCCGGCATATTAGCTAGTTCACACTGTTTGAGGATTTTGTTTGCCGTCTCACATGCAAGGTGAAATGAGATGGCACATCACAAGCTGGTGCCTTCACAGAAAGTATTAGCTACTGACAAAGCCATGTTGATAGCAATGGTGCACAGATGTGCAGCTTTTAATTTTCTCTTGCAGCTGCTTTAGAAGTTATGAACTTGCGGTATTTGTTGCTGTCTTAGGTCAGAGGCCCAGCCAGCTAATTAGCTGAGAGACTTAAATAGATATCCCCTTTTTAGTTCAGCTAACCAGGCAGTCCAGGCGCAAAGTTCAGAAATCCAGCTCCAACTTATCTAACTCAGTGAATTTCTTGGAAAAATAAAAGAGTTCTAGTTACTCCAGTTAATGGGTTTCACGTTAAATAGGTATAACTTTCAAGGTACTTCTCTGAAAAGCTGCTCACAGGATGATAATGTAGGTCAGCTCCTTAAGAAAAACGAAAGTTGAACAATAAATAAGAGGAGTTACTTGTGTTAACAGTCACGTGTTATTCGTTAAAAGAGAAGGGTAGCAGAAATCTATGACATAGTTTGCCCAAGCTGGCATTTAACTGCTATGACCAAATGACTGTAACACTGAAGGGCATCATTTCACAGTACCTGCTAGTGGTAAACCTCTGCCATTGTTAAGTCAGAGTTAGCTTTATCAATTGATTTTTTTTTTCTTCCTTTTTTAAAAGTTTTTTCCTTTTTTTTTTTTTTTTTTTTTTTTTTACATTTGTATGTTTTTTTACATGTGTTTTGCTTTTCAGAGCGCTCTTTACCAGTTCAGGAATGCGCTGTGCAGTTAGGGGCAGGGGGTGAAATGTCACAGTCATTTTCACCTGTGTGCTTTTGGCTCAATGTTTTTGATGGAGGGTTAGTCTTTTGAGCAAAGAACTGGCAGGCTGTGGGGGTGAATCCTGCAGTTGCAAACCTTCAACCATGGGTCATATGGCTCGGGTTTAAAAAAATATTCCACTTTTCCCAGAGAGCAGAAATCCAACACATCTTCAGCTTGCAACAACCGTCTTCTCAGAGGAGCGAGTGATAACAGTTGCAGAACACTGGCTTTCAAGGGCAACTTCTGCTTAATTGCCATCCTCCTCCCACTCCCCCTTCCCCTCTGATTATGTACACGCATCATTGGGCTTCATGGATGCGGAGAGCGGAGCAAAGGAAGGTTTGGGAGGTACGTCTGGCTTTAGCGAGGGCGTGCGTTTCAAGCCTGACCTCGTCAGGGAGTTGTAGGCAGTGAGGCTCGGCTGCCGGGACACAGTCACAGCCTGTGCCTGGGCAGCATGGACCTGTATGGAGTCCACTCGCTGCGGGGCTGGTGGCGGGTTGTCACCCCGGCCGAAGCTCTGATTGCGGGACAGGTGGGATGAGTTGGAGGAGTTAGTGTTGTTTCTTTTGAGGGTTGATGCCTGATGACTTCTCGTGAGTGAGTTTGTGGGGTAGCTTCTCTTGTAGTCCACGTTGTAAGCAGAGGAGTGCATCTCCAGCCGCTTGCTCAGCCCGCTCTGTGACAGCGAGGTGCCCGGGGGCCCCAGGGAAGCCTCCCGCTGGGGGACTTTTGGTGGCATGCTGTCGAGATTTTCCACCAGGTTAACTCCATGGCTGGGGCTTTTGCTACTGAGGTGGTCCTTGATAGTTTTGTACTCAAGGGTGGCATTCTGGTCCTCCACAGACATCTGAGCTCCATCGCTCATTTTTGGCTGGTCAACATACTCGTGCTGGTAGCCTTGCTGGGCTATGGGCAGGACAACAACACTGGGGATGTGGCTGGGAGAAGCCCTGAGCGGCAGGTCAGTTGGTATCACTGGTGAGGCCATCGAAGGGATGTCTTTTGTGCAGGCATTGATGAGGTTCTGGTTTCTCTCCCATTCCCTACTGCCTCGTCTGGGCTTTCTCTTCTGCTGCAGGGTTGGGGTGGACTCCGGGGTTGGCAGGGCAGCCAGGTCCAGATGGTGCTGGTCAGCTTTGATCAGCATCTTGGCAGTGCTGCCTGGGGTAGCCAGCTTGCCATTGTGCATCAGAGGCGTGAGGATAGCTTCAGGCTTTGGCTCCTTGGACTGAGCATCCCCAAAGAGGCCACTGAGCTTGGAAACACTGCTCATGGAGCCGCGGCGGGAGTGGGTGAGCTCCTTCTCCTTCCTCTGAACGGCAGCCATGTCTCTGCGGCGGTGGTCGCAGATGCAGTACACTACGATTCCCGAAAACACAGCCCCCATGACAAAAGCAAGAATAACAGCAATGGCCAACAGGGTGACTGGCACCAGCTGATCATGACCTTTCAGGTAACTCTCCCGAATCACTCCTGCAATAGACAGCATACAGAGATTAAACAAACTGAAGACAAAGGAGGAGCAGGGAGGGGGGGGGGGGGGGGAGGCTACTTATCATTAACTACTTTATTCAAAGATGTGCCCCTGGGAGGTTGCTTTGTGTTTTGCAGGGGGATTTTGTTTATCAGCTTGTTCAAATTTGGAGACATACTCTACCTGCCAGCTACATCATCCATGTATAGACTTCGGCTTTCAGTACAGCTTTCAGATCTGGAGCTGAAGACTACAAAGTTCAGGAGTCGAAAGGGAATTTACTAGCAGGACAAGTACAATTGTTTTGAAATCCTGGCCCTGGCCAATTCACACTGACTTCAGCAGACCTTTTAGCTCTCCTCTGACATACTACTCATTCCTCAGCTTCCTCTTTCTCATCTCTCCTAGGCTAATACCATCTTATTTTTACTATGGTAAGTCACTGATATTCAAAAGCTTTTAAATGGAGGAGAGGAGATAGAATCTTGGTGAATACCAGAGAAGTGTATCCCATATTGTTTAAGGCTTCTTTCTCTGCTCTTCATTCTGTTATCTTTGTCATGTGTTTTATAAGTCAGTGTCACATGCCTGGGCTTCAGGAGGAGGCTTGAGTAACTAAAGATAGAGCACAATGTTGAAATTTATTGAGCCTGCTAGGTGACTGTCCTTGCTATTTGAATTTTAAAAGCTCTCTCTTTTCTGAACACATGAATAGGTTGATGTCTGTGCTGAAGCCTATGCTTTCTGTTCTAAAAGACCTGACCTTGTGCCTCATCCTGTGGTTAGAGTCACTGTCAAATCCTACTTGGCCATCCAAGCACCCACTGTCTGAGGAGGCACCTTTGGCAGAGCGCACCTCCTCCACTTGAAGTCCCTAATGCAGCATTAATGAATACCTTAAATTTCCAAAGTAAGCTTTTTTCCTGATATGGGCACCAAGCCAGCAGCACTAATGAAACACAAGCAAAAAGCCTGTAATTTTTTGTTGTTGTTGTTGCTGTTGTTGCTTGTTTGACTTTTTTTTCTAATTTCTGGTTTTGTTCTCACTGTTTACAAAGAGCAGCCACAGTTTGACAAGGAACTGAAGGAATATCTCTCCCACCTCTTCTTCTAGAAAGGGCCCAAGTGCCAGGGGACTAAAAGCTCCACATGCTCAAAGAAAATGTAATAGTTGTCCTTATTTCGGGAGAGATAGAAAGGCAGAAAATACAACTCCAAGGCTCTCCTGAGACTTTGTGAAGGTACAAAACTTTCACCTTGCTAAGCAACTCCTAAAATAAGGTTTTTTCATGTTTTTGGCACAGAAGGTAATTACAATCCAGAATCAGAACCAAACTATGTTAAAAGAATATTAAAAAGTTGCCACTGTCTCACAGAAGCCTTTGATAATTATTCTGCCCAAATTGTTCCCATTTTTCTGTCCCAAGTTGATTGCAGCATTTAGGCAGACAAGAGATATTTGCATACAAGAGATGAACTTTATATTCAAAAGCAAAACAGCTCTTGAAATCATAAGCACCTGCATGTGACATCACAGCTGGGTGCCACAGAAATTATTGTGCTGTGACAATACAAAGGATTATGATTTCACAAGGAGAATAAATAGCAAGAGCAGATGATCACTTAAGAAAATATGATCCGGCATTCACATAAATATCCTAATAGTAAAATGTAAGGGCAGGAAAGTAAAACTCAGAAAACAATATATAATTAGAAACAATCTTCAAATTAACTGTTTCAAAGAGAACTCTCTTTTAAAGCGCAGAAGCTTCTTCAGAGGCATCAGCACTTAACAAGAAGCAGTAAAACCTTATTCTGTAATTTAAATGCATGTACAAAATTGCTGTATGTAGAAGAATAGTCTAGTGGTTACAGCACAGTCAGCAGGAACTATATTTCACTGCAAAGGTGTTGGTCTCCTGTGATCCTTCACCTGCTGATATTTGCATCCTAGACTCTGCAGCATTTTGTGGCCAAATTTATTTACGCTTGTAAAACTTTTTGCAGAGATTAACCAGAGAATCAGATAAAGAGTCTTAAATGGATGGGAAGAATGAAGTTAGGAAAAGCTTCACCTTAAAAAGTCTCATTTAATGGCTTTCTGTGCACAAACTTCTCAGGCATGTCCCTTTGAGCACTTATCCAATGTGTTTTGCATGGAAAAAACTCAAAATCTCTGCTCAGTGCCTACCTAAGGGTGTAAGTACCTACAGTCAAAGCCCAAAAGCATGGGTTCATGACAGGAAAGTCATATCTTACTAACTTAATATTCTTCACTGAAAGGATGGTCAGTAATTGAAACAAGCTGTCTATGGAAGTGGTAGGATCATCATCCCTGAAAGTGTCCAAAAAGCATGTCAATGTGCTACCTGGGGACATGGTTTAGAAGAGATCACGGTGGTGCTAGGTTAAAGGTAGAACTTGATGATCCCAGAGGTCTTTTCCAACCTAAATTGTTCTGTGATACTATAATTCTAATATTTTTTTATATATAGACTGGGAGCAAGAGGCTGGAGTGCAGCTGTGCGAAGGGAAATGGCATTTTTGGTTAATGGCAAGCTAAATATGACTCAGCCATGATGGTGGGAAAAAGGGCCATGGGAAAAGGGCCCTTTTCCATGGTGGGAAAATGGCCAACCATATAAAAATATTGGAATGTGTCAACATTCCAACACGCAAAAATGATGGAAAGACTACAGGGCATCAGTGATGAAGTGTGGCTTAAAATAATTGGTTTGTTCAGCTTAGAGTAGACTTCATTGCTACCTAAAACTTCCTCATGACTGGGAGTTCAGGGGGAAAGTGCTGTCACCTCTCTCAGGTACCTGGTGACAGGATGCAAGGGGAATACCTTAAAACTCACGTCCACGCCTGAAATTTCTGCTGGCTGAGGGAAATTTCAAGCTCTGCACTCTCAGTCCTCTGCTTTAGGCTAAGTCCTACTCTATGAGTGCTAGCCTTAAGCACAAACCCGCATCACTGCATGAAAAAGCAATGTAAAATCTTCAGCTTTAGGTTACCAGGAGATATCAAAACATTAGCACTCACATGACAAAATTACTGCACAGTCCAGACTGCATGACCCTTTGTGTTCATGAAAGGGGTAGGTGAAATGATGTTGAGCACACTGCTGTTGTTTTACGTGCAGAAATTTATGAGTCTCTTAAAATATCCTAATTCCAGCTCTTTCCTCTTGAACTCCAACCTTCCTGATGTTTATTATGTTTCCTACACTAAAGGATATTTAACATTAGTGCCTTTTCTCTAGGCGGGCACATCTTCTCTGGAAACAAAGTCAGTTTAATGATATCGTTTATTTCTTATCAGGGACCTCTTCCATGTGTCATTAGTCATACAAACAATCCCAGTAACTTCAATGTAAATAAAAAAAATAAAAAAAAAACGGGCAAGGTATGACCCTTCATGAGTGTCCATGGAATAGATAAAAAACTAAGTAATAAAAAAGTAGGAGAAATGCTCAGCATCCTACTGTCATGACCACAGTATGGGTGGGGGTGGTCCGGAATTTAACATGATATATCAGCCTATAGGCTGATAATTGCAGTTGAGGTCCATCAACATGTCAAACCTTAACATCAGCAGTAACTGCACAGAGGGATGACTAAGGAAGTGTGTGATCCCAACCATGTCAAGTGTGAGGCAAACTCTTCATGTCGCTTTACAGACTGTATTCTGTGTGCTTTTACCTAGGCCTGCAATTCTTAAAGAACATCACAGCCCACATGGCAAGTCCAGCATCCTTCATTTGCACTCGTTGTTCAAGGAATTAAAATGAAGAAGAAAATAATCAGAAAAATGTAGGGCATACATTTTTGAAAGGCAAGTAAAATATTCGGACTCCCAGGCTTGAGGAAATACCTGTTATTGAAAAATTTTACATTTATTTATTATCTGACATACTTTTAAGACATCATGTACTGGAAAACTGAATGGGCTGGCTTCATAGAACCAGTAAAATATGTCTGATATAAGTGTCCCCATATTAAAACATCTTAATTAATAATAAAATTATTATTCTATATTAAATACATTTAAAATATTATGTCCAGCACTTTACTGTTTGTAATATATCATTTGCAAAAGTGAAAAGACATTACTTATTTTATTTTATGTGGTCTGAATCTACATCCCAGACTATTTTCTCTAGTGCATTGAGACCTATCACCTTGGATAACAACAAACTGTTATTTTGAAAGGGATAGTTTTGACAGAACTATCTGTATTAACATTGTACTCCAAAGTTGGGTGGTGGTAAAAAGAAAAGTAAACCTGAAAATGTTACAAAGAAATAGATGACATCAAATATTTGCATTTTAAGGATGAGATCTTACATGTTGTGTCACTAATGCCCCAAACATTCTGACATTTACTGACCTCCCTGGACACTTCTTTTTAAGCTCTCTCCTTTAGAAATCCCAGTTGGGCTTACAAGTTTCAAGGTCCTCCTACATGTGATGTAATATTATTTCTGGCTACTAAAAGTGACAGTCTAGTCACCTGATATTCTCCTTTTCCATGGCTATTTTGATTCCCATAGACAACCTGATCCTTCCTCCTCCATTAACTTTCTGTAATTTCATCCCATGTCCTTTTGTCTGCATCTCCTAACATTGCCATTCATTTTCTCAGTCAGTATACCCTGCACTGTAACAGTCTGGAACATGCAAAATCACCTCTTCTCACTCATCTAATGAGAGAGAAGACCTGATATGGTATTGTGTTGTACTGCTATGCATAATTGATTCCTTCTTCCAGCAAAACCTCTAGCTAAGGTACACAGTTTGGGCTGGCTGGTTGGTTAAGAGGACTGAAAAATGTTTCCAGACCTTCAAGTGATTCAACTCTGAAATGAGCTAGGACATGTATAAATTCCATGATACAGCATTGATCTAGTTAAAGGTAGTTGTTACTAATGAGCAAGGAGATATTACATTTTATATCAATAATACATATACTATAGTTAAAGTTATGGGAGATG